GGGTGAAAACCCTCTGACAATTTTCCATTTTATTAAGTTTACAGGCGTTCATTAAGCCAAAGAAAGGACAGCGGTATTCGATGACTGGGAGAACAAACATTTGGCAAAGTCTTGGATCCATTTCCAGAAGGAAATAATATATGATATGAATCCACATATCTGCGCAGCTTTGGCAGAGATTCTATCTGCATGAGGTGATAAAGCAAGCTTATTTGTCTAACATAGACCTGGGTCCTTTATGGTCATGCATTCTGAGAGTGGATAATTCTGAAAAATTATGGGACCAGGAAGGTTGGCAGGACCAAAAAACATGAAATTACACTTGGATGATGAAAACTCCATCTGCCATTTTGAGCCCCATCCGCTAAAGCGTAGTAAATCGGCATTAGTTTTTTTTCAACACAAACATTTGCGGTGTTCTTGAAGTATTAGTAAACACACTTGAGGTTATCGGCATAAGTAAATGTTTGCGAATTTCCGAGTTCAGTCGAAATATCATTGATGTACAAAAGGAAGAGTAGCGGACCCAGAACCGTGCCTTGGAGTATGCCACTCGTGATCGGGCGAGGCGTCGTGTAGTTATTACCAGCCATGACTTTCTGATAGCGGTTGGACAGAGAGGACCGGATGAAGTCAAGCAGAGGCAGACGGATGCCGAGAGCTTTCAACTTTACTAAAAGACGTCTATGGGGCACCTTGTCAAAGGCTTTGCTAAGATCAAAGTAGATAACTACCACTGACTGCTGTTCATTACGAAGAGAAGTGATTAGATTAAGAAATGCCAAGAGAAATGTTTCGCAGGATCGTTCAGGTAAAAATCCATGCTAACTATAGCTCAGAAACGGATTAACTAGACATAAGTCAAGAATTTCATTGAAAATTATCCCTTTAAGAAGCTTTGCTTGAGACGGCGTTTTGTGCACGCCCCAATAGTTACGATTAGACAGTTATGAATTGCTAAATTACGCAAAGGGGCTGCGATGTCCCAGGTCCTCCAATCTAACTAAGGGTCTTCTATTTGGCACTTTATCGAAGGCTTTTCTAAGATCAAAATAGATAACGACAACAGAAAAGTGATCATTAGGGAAAGAAGTAAGAAAATTGACAAAAGACATATGGAATGTTTCACTAGAGCGAACCGCTCAAAAAACCATGCCGGAATGGGCTTATAACTTGATTTGAAAATATTTTGTGTGAGAGAAGGTGTTTTATGACAGAAAGACAGCCAGGTATTAATACTAGGATAATGATAATAATATAGGTTTTACAATGGTCAGGAAGGAAAACAATTACCAAGAAGACTGGGAAGATTTTGCTGAGCAAAGGAGAAAATCGCTTAGTTTATTTATAAGGGAGTTCGGAATATTGTCCGCACCTACTGAATGCGACATAGTAAGCTGATTTATCAGCTCTTAAATAGTTTTGGGAGCAAAATTAATGCTGCTGGGGAAGGCATCAGACAACGGAGTAATTGGGGGAATTGGGTCAGTTTCAATGGTGAAATGTTTGTCAAAGAATGAATTTAACATTTCTGCTTTACCCGACCCCGCTGAAATGAAGGTATCGTTGGTATTAAGCAATGCGGAATGACTTGGTGGGATTTGGCAGATTATCTTTGACGGAAGATCAGATCAGCTGATTTAGAAGCATTTGCGCCATTAGTAGCTAAAGACTCTCTACGCCTATCTCACGCGAGCCTCATTTTCGAAGCTAATTCAAATATTTCAGAGATTCTTAGATGGACTGATAATCAGTTCACGGAGGGATATACAAGCTGCTTCCATAGCTTTTTAAGTCTGTTTTTATGAAAACGTGGGATAGTGCAAACGTGGCACCCGAGAAGACCTTCTCTTATGCACTGTAAAAAATTGTTGAAAAAATTGGACCACTATTTGAAAGAATATTGTGCCAATCAAGAGTGGTTGGAAAATTATTTACTAATTCCTTCTTAATATTAGCAATGTCAAAAATGCTGCCTTGAACTGTTGGCTTTTTGGAAATGGCAACTAGAAGGCGAAAGTAAATATATTCATGATCACTTGCAAAAAGATCATGATGCAAATTCATAGATAGAGGGAAGATGTCATTAGTAAAAAGTAAATCTAATACACTATCATTTCTTGTCGAAGAGTGAACTAATTGAGACAAGTTTGAGGAGTGAGTAGTGATTAGAAGCGCTTGGGATCTAGGAGAGAAAGTATGTGTGTGCAAATCAGTTTCAGGCAAATTAAAATCTTATGCGATAATTTTGACATCGAAAGAAGTCTCTGCGAGAGATGGTTCCCATTTCCGGGCTAACAAAGGGAATTTTATACACATCCGACTAAGGCTTTCCTATTTTGCGAAGGATTACCGAAGCGAAACATAAATGTCCAGAGAAGGCAGCAATTTTCAGATCATAAGACGAATGTGCAGGTGAGGCTCTGAGGTAAAGAAGACAACCATTGACACGTTTTTCAACACGATCCTGGCGGTGTAGGCTGAGGCTATCTAGAGTTTGCGCCGAGTCTGACATTAGAGAGTGAGCGCAAGATTCTGTAATGCACAATACATCTGGGTCAAACCCAAAGACCACGGTTCTTAGTTGTTCAATCTTTTGCACGACTGATCTTACGTCAAAAGAGGCTATACTGTGCGTGGTCCGAGAAATGGCTCCTAGATTTCAATGTGCGGAAGTGTGTCATACTTCATTTGATTCCAACCAACTGTCCTTCAACTGAAAGTCCGAGGACGTGTCACCTGAAAGACATTACGCTTCCCGCAGAATCTTCACAAAAGAATATCTGGGTTTGAATATATTGCAACATGAAACGAACGCTACAGTGCAACAGGGTTGCAAAAAGCGCCATGCGAGTGGTCCATGCAATCCAAAAGGCGTTGGTAGCCTTTGATAAAATCATTTTTGGAAGAGTTTACGGCACCTTTGTTCAGCCCCATTCAAAATATGGTATACAAGCGTGGCAGCCATGGCTAATAAAGGACCAAACATGCCTCGAGGGAGTGCAGCGTCGGGCAAAAAAGCTGTTGAACGGGTTAAAGAGCCAATCCTACAGAGGAAGACCGCATTGTCTTAATCTATTTTCTCTGTGCTGCATGCAGCAAAGAGGTGGTCTTATCCTTATGTACAAAATCATACACGGACTTGAGCATGGACTTATCTTTGTGGACATGGTTCAGTGCCACTATTCACCCAATATTCGTGGTCACTCAATGAAGCTACGGACAAAAATGTCCAGGCTGAATCTTCGTTCTGAATTTAGTACGCAAAGAGTATTGGAGACATGGAATGATCTCCCTCAGTCACTCTTGAAGGTGAGGTCCCTGCAGCTCTTGAAGAAACGCTTGGATGATTATTTGTGTCGCCTGTTTTCCGTCAAAAATCTGGACCTGAGCTACATACCTCGCGATCCCCGGGGACTTTTTCTTTAAAACAATTCTACTCAAATGAATCAAGTGCGGTTTTGATAGCGAATATTCTCTTTGATCGTGTACAGTTGTATCTTGCCAGCTGACATGTAATCACTAGTGTTTTCAAAGGGCTTGTTTGTTATCCTTACAAAAAACAAACAAAACTGAATGTAGCTTTCGCTCATTACCACTTATAAAAAAGGGAGAGCTAGTGGTAGAAGATTAAGCTGTAGAGCAGAAGTAAAACTTGGAAAATTCGATTGCTTTGGTCTGAAATTTACGGGGACATTAACACTACCTAATACGCAGCATTATATGGAAACATACTTGGGCAGGACCCAGGAAGAGGAATGCTATTGCGCGTGATTGGAAAAATGGGAGGCGTAAATAGAACTTTGGTAATTTAAAGCGTATTATGAGAGGTTATTTAGCTTAGTAACGGACTGAATGGTTGCGAGGATCAATTTACATCATGAGAAGGCTTTGTGATTTGGGGTGTCAGGATAGCAGAGGGATTGGGAATGTTATGAGCAACGTTGTTCACTTTCATTTTACGGCTGGTATGTTAGTGGGTTCCAAAACTGTGGTGCCCGTACGACAGGCGAGACGTTGCAAGTCGTGGCGTTTACAGCTTGCCTACATGAGACGCTTGTAGTTCGACGTGTCCTAAGGCGCACGGAGTGGAGATCAGCAAGTGCTGGGCACTGATAAACGGGCAGTACGACATCGCGTGCCGCTGGGCTCTCGTTCACCTCCGGTCGCCCTGACCTTACAACGTCACAGAAACAAGATGGACAGAGGAGGAGAGGGTGCAGCAGATCCTGCACAAGTCTGTAATTTTAAAGAATTACTCTCGTGCAAGTCACCACTGATAGGCCCATCTTGGTTAGCATAGTACATTGCGACGCCCGAACTCTTAGCACATTCGAAGTAAGTGCTTAGTGCATAAATGCATTAAAGTCGCTTTTTAGTGTACCAAGGTCGCTTGTTTTGTGGCCTTTCACATGAATTACGTACGATTCCGACACGTTTTCATATTTTGTAAATCCGATCTTCTTTTCATTCGTCTTTCATGGTCCCCTCCATATTTTAACTGTACTATTCCGCTTGCTACGTTCGCGTTTCGCCCCCCTTCTTCAGCATATTGGTGTGATTCAGTTGCTTTCGTACCGTTTTTATTCACTGAGGGTTGTCCGTCCGTATCCAAAATTGTTCTTCTCAGATTTCTGCTGAGTCCTTTAGTGTTTTGGTTTCACAATCTTTACTCATCTGGCAGGTCGACGCTTGACCTCGCTTGTACCTCTAACTAACGACCGAACGGGCACTTGAAGCTGGGCACTTAGCTCCACTCAATAACTTCGCATATTTAAAAGGAAAGACATCCCACTCGCCCGAATTCTGCGAGCTCCGACTACTTGGTGACCCAGAATCAGCCACCTTTGACAAGTCTGAACGACCCTAAACTGACAGGTCCTGTTGCCTCTGCTTTCGATTTTGTGCCTGTCATGCCGCTTGTGATTTTTAGGATGGTTTGATTTACTCCGAAAACACAATGCCTACGTAACAATAACAATTAACCTCATCCAAGAACTATGATATCGGGTTCGACGCTCTCATACTTTTTCGGCTTTTGGGCTCTGGCGTATCTCATTGACGCTGGACTCTCAGTCCACCCATTTACAAAACAGCGTTACCTTGAACTGAGGGGTCGATCCGGTATCTCTATCCAGGTCCTCCAAGCGCGATTCTTCACTCAGAAGTTAAATCCCTTCTTTCAACGTCTTGGGAGTGTTGACTGGTTTCCGTGGGGCTTATGGTTTTCTGTCGGCACAGCTTTCTCGGCGATCTTTATGTGTCTTAGCGTTGTTGTGCTTTCTTTACTGGCCTATAACACCGTCATGCGCAAACCCATTGAGAAACAAATCATAACGCCCGTGGTAAGTCGTTGATTGAGAACGTCTGCGACGAATATTGTGGTTCCTTTGGTATAGGTCCTTTGTAATGGGGGTTTAACCACTTGGGTAATTAGTAGATGCCAAGCAGCCCACTTGTCAAGAAGTTTAGTAATTGTCCTAACCCTTCCTGAGTTGATGTTCATTTAATTCCAATCGTGAACGCACTCGCGCCACCGGTCATTTTCTTATTCAACTGTAGACTTCATAGAAGTTGGTCGGCACCGATTTTTACTGCTTGAAGTTGCATAGGTTAAGGTGTCACCGCAGCGTGCAAAGTCTACACAGGACATAGAATTTAACACTATCCTTTCCGTTTTCCCCCCGCCAGATGCCAGGAGTCAACCTCCCTGTCAGTCATATCGGCTTCTACATGCTTACCCTGCTGATCTGTGTGGTTTTGCACGAGGCCGGTCATGCCTTGGCTGCCCTACGAGAAAAGGTCCGACTCCATGGCTTCGGCTTCTTTCTGTTCGGTATCTATCCAGGAGCCTACGTGGATATTAGTGACTCTGATCTTTGCAGCTTGTCGCCTCTTCGCCAACTGAAGATTTACTGCGCAGGCGTTTGGCACAACGGAGTAATTGTACTTATCAGTCTCCTCGTGTTTCACGCCCTTCCATGGCTCCTAGTTCCTGCTTATTCAACGAATAGAGGCGTTGGTGTCGTCAGTGTACTTGAGGTAATACACGTTCCTGTAGTATATGGTACCTGATTTGAAAGCGGTTTTCCTTGAGCCATCGTGCAGCCACTTTTCCACTTATATTTCCGGCGAATATAAACATATCTGTCCACCACGCATCCTTTTGTGTTGCTACATTTTTATTCCTTCCAAACTGTTCCACCGTACGTCAGTGGATAGCAGACGGGTCAAAATGTCTGAAGGTGTGTGCTATGTCAGTATCAGCAGACCATGGCACTCGCAGCCTGGTATGCGCTGGCAGTTCCCGGACGCCTGCTTCCCTGTCGGTAGATGCACTTGCACTCCCGCTGGGTATACAGGTGGTGGGCATGGCTGCGCAGTCATCCACGTCCTCTGACCCCTTTTGGCGTGTTGGTGGTACATAATCCTGGTCAAGTGTATATTGTGGACCAGGAGGTGTGTTGGCACGCCTAGATGCGGATCCGGCCGTGCTAGCCACCTGCGCCCTCCTCCGCCTCCGGTCTCCTGGACTCTGTCCGGACACCGGATCCAGGTGCGGAGTGGGAAAGAGGGAGTGCGAAAGATGCTGCGCAAGTCCACTGTCTCTAAACTAATTCACGTGCAAGTCGCCTTGCCTTCGGCATCTTGTTGTGTAGCACACGATGGACATTGTCGGAATCGACGGTCAAACTGTCGGATAGTAGACTACTATTCACTAAAATGTCGAAAGTATGTAAATACCAGATGTAAAAGAGTGAAGAATATGGGCCAACAGGTCTTACCGTAGCAGTTTGGCCTCAATCATCCCTTTCAGAAATACAGATAATGCAACCGCCGTATCCACTACGGCCTGGCCACGCAAAAATAGCCGTGACTGAGTCATTCTTACCACCCTGATGTCGGTACTTCTTTTACTCGGCGTGGATGTCATCGTCTGAATTGGCCGGCGTCTGTGGTGTCACGGACCGTATTTTTCTACACACTAAGATCTTCGAATAACCCTTCGTCGACGGAGACCAAACGCCGGAGGTCCGACAATCACCTGCATGTGTTAGCTGACCGCGCCAAGCCACGCTTTGAACTGACATCCGGAGCCCTCAGGTAGATATTGGCACCGGATCAAGGGTAGAGATACTGAATGCATGGGGTGGACCAGGAAGACCATGCTTGAATCACACGCAATTTTCGTGAGGTTTATGGGAGTTTCTGATTACAAACTCAGATAGTCCTGCCGAGGTTGTCATTCCAAGCGCTTTGGTTCATGAAACTAACCACAAGGCAGCGGTGGCACGCCGCAGTTCGAGGTCACCATACCAGTGCCGTTATCGAGCTTTTCAATATTTTATAAGGCAATCGGCGTGTCAGACCTCAGCCCTATGTGCCCTGATGCCTCGGTCGCCGCTGGTCTGCGACTGCCTCTTTATCATACACGGGAGCCTGCCTGTTTTAAGCTAACACTCGCCGAAAGACGTCCTATTATCCGCCAAATACGGACGCGCCGGGCTATTAGGTGCCAGACTAGTGGATGAGGCATCTTCTTGACGGCCCACTTGATGCTGCATCTAAAGTGTCACTTTGTGGTTACTTCAGTTCTTTTATACTGTCGCTTATCTCTTCAGCAATTCGAGGTTAATCTGTCGATTCAGGTCCGTCATTGTTTTCGATTTTTTGATGCGTCTGGACTGTCCGGATTTTCTAGAGCTTCCTGATTTCACTAGGGCCTATTCATGAATGGCTTTCTCGCACAGATCTATTCCATTCAAAAGTTTTCTGGCCCTTTTTTCGTTTAAAGCGAAAACCAATCCTTTAAATACATCCACTTGTAGCACTCAGTCTTCACTGGCCACCGTGGGCTGCACTCCGGTGATGCTATAACCCAGATAAACGCTTGTCCAGTTAACACTGCTGATGAGTGGTACCGGTGTCTGGAGGAGGTGCAACAAAAAACTTCCGGCTACTGCGTTCCTGGCGGTTACCCCAACATGCTAGACCCCGGCCACGTGCGTGCACAACCTGGCGCTCGTCGGCTGTCCGCCGTCTTGCCTGCTGACCAGGCGGAGGTCGCGAAAGGATTGCCCAGGGTGCCAGCTGATACTGTTGCTGCTTCCAAGGCTCTCGTCGTAGCCGCCTCCCATGACTGCTGTGCCCCACACCTTGCCTCGACACACCTCTGCTTCGCCCACTTCCACAGTCTGGGAAAGCACGGAAAGCAAGCCAGGGTGAGACCGGCTGCGCTGCCAGTTCTGCTTACACCTGTTTTAATGTTCTGCCTCGGAAAATCCCTACGTTTATGCCGTATCTAATTTTAAACTCTAGAAATGATGGTTACGCACAGTAGAACCTCAACTGTCTGTTAGCGGGGCGTTGCCGGAGCGTAGCCCTTAGGCGTCTCCACTTCACTTATCCCACCAAGTCACTCATCTATGACTTGTGACGCATACGACTAAAAGTCACGCGTCGTAGCACGCCTCATCGAACGAGTCAGGGGAGGTGGAGGCGATTTCGTCAAAGAGCTGTACTATCCCATTGTATCCATTAGAGGCACAGCCATACCATTGTGTACGGATGCAGCGGCCTGGTAACTGGGATGAGAACGTGGATTTTGGTCGTTTTCAACCCCGGAAAAAATTTTCGAAGACAACGAATTCGATTTCATCTTTCGCTTTGGCCATTTGGTGGAAAGCTCACGTTCGGGTACAATATCCGGCCTTATTGACAAAGCTGCCAGCCTGTTTTACGGGAGAGCACCCTGATATTTCCCTACGCAATTGGAAGCTGAGTTAAACAGCACCAGAACAATTGCGACCAATCGACAGCTGCAGTTCTTAGTAACTGCGTGCGAATTTTATAATATCAACAGAGTCAGGACCGGTTACATGTTTGGGGGGTTGGTTGTAACACAGCTTTGTGTGATCCCCTGGACATATCGAATAGATCTACGGGCAAGATGAGGACCCGTTGCAGGCTTCTGACAACTTTTCTAATTAGGTATAAGGAAAGATATTTTTGCAAGTATGGGGAATTAGTGGGCCAAGTCACGCTGTTTAAGTGATAATTTTACTGAACTCGGCGTTTGCCCGCAATCGGAAAGAAGTGAATTCAAAAGCCGGCGTTGTGGCCGACCGAAATTTGTGGGAATTGTGCTGCACGATAATCACTATTACAACCTCACCTAAATTATCCCTTCCAACCAAAAACACATCTTAGATTTTCGGCTAACATTCCATTAGATACTTCAGCTACTGTGTATTGTATGTGTACATATCCTAAACAATTGCGTGATTTATAACTCGACAATAAAGGCGCTTATGCCAGCTCTAATCCACATGAACGACCACTTTAGCAAGTGTCCTTAGGCATTTTCCCGCTCTGACCAGCCGTTCCCGGCTATTGCTCTATAAAATTTCTCGAATCTTCCCAGAGTAGGAAATTGTGGTTCTAAAGGCCTCCTGCTCAACCCACCTTGCATGCTACCTTTATGGGCAGAATAGTGTCCCCGCTTAACGCGCATCATGTCGCCTAGCCACCGACGCCTCTCTACTTGTCCCACATTCCCTTACACGTGAATAGCAGACTGACAGCGAAAGGCTTTAAAAGCAAGTCACTTCAACTTTGCCGTTTTAAGGGGTGATTTAATGCTTTTTTTCTCTCAGTGTTGGCCACGTCCATAGTATTCACCATAATTGACGCACTAAATTTATTTCCTGCTTCTGTATATATTTTCTAGAAGCCTAAGTACGTCTGTCTGCCTGCGAGAGCAGTAACAGAAAGAGAGCCCTGCAGTGCACCCTCGGACTGTGGTCCCCTGGCCACTGAGGGAGACCAGCGTCCCATCTGCCTAATTCCTGCACCTCCTGACAACCATACGCACCTGATTCGAATTGTCCACAACCGAGCCCGCTCCCCGGCCATCCTATTTCTTGGACCTGTCGAAGATCTGCTAGCATCTATTGAGATTTCCAACTACGTTCCTCGCTGGCCGCAGTTATTTCCCTGTCGTTTGCCGCAGATCATCGCTACTTTTTGCATGTAAGTCCTGACTGTGCTCCCTATAATTCGTTCCCACTTCTTCAAGAAAGATTGCTTTGTACATCACGGAACCACTTAAAGGTCTCAACACCAGGCTCAAAGATAAAGGCACACGAAGACGTTTCACCGTTCGGCACTACTGGTCTGACTTTTGGTGTAAAATGCATCGATTGACTTGGTAGGACCTCCGGACATGGAAGCGCGGTATCTGCCGAATTCCGCGGCCAGTTTTTCGTGCCTTTTCGATCAAGGACTAGGGATGCCAACACCTAGTACGCAGTCAAAAAACAAACTTGTTTGTTGCCCTTCCAGTTGTTCCTAGTACTCGCGACTCACTGAATGACTAAATAGGCTTTACCTCTGATAATATTTGCTCTACCCCTCCGTGACGCACTTTACGATGCCTTTATTTTAACGTCTATAGGATGGAAAAACCATGGCAGCAGCCCAAGTCGTATCACGACGTCCTTGTCGCTACTTAAAATAAGTGCTTCCTTCCTGTAGGTGCAGTTTGAGGGCAATTCCGTCTTTTCAGCGCCAGTGGACAAACCAACTGAATTAACTGTCTCATTCATCTGATAATAAGTTTCAAGCCGACATAACTTTACGCTAAAAGTGTGTAGTCAGTCGGCGTCCTGTTGCAAATGAAACTACCAAAACTGAGCGTATCCATTCCAACGTGCGAATATTTCCCCGGCGCATTCACGGGCCACCTGGAAACTAACTTAGCAGAGTCTCGTTCTTTTATCACGCTTATTTTTAAACTGCTGGAGTATGACGCTAGTAAAGACCTTTGCAGCCATTCCGATTAAACTTATTTCGGGGCAATTGTCGCGCTTCGTCTTGAATGCCTGTAAGACAGTAAGTAGAATTTTTAACTAGCAGTCTTCATATACAACCTCCTCACGCCGTGTTTTTTGAAATCGTCTTATCGAGCCGACGCGTAATACCCCCAAAAAGACTTTTCTGTAGGGATTGGCATTTACCGCACCTATGTTGCGCGGTCCGAATATTGCATCATGGTTTGTTGCAGATGGTTAGAGTTGAGTTAAACGACTGGGTGATTACGTTGCCGTCTAACGCCTCACAGAGGGCCACTACCCACTACAACCTGCATTAGGATGCTGACACTGGCACCATGCAACAGTTTGTTGAACATCAATAGCACCAATAACACTCCCTCAGTGCTCAGCCCCGGAGAGCCTCTTTCACGCATCGTGTTACGCGAGACAGCTGTAACTTCACATACGAGGAGAGGTGTCGAGAATGCAAACAAACGCCCACCATAATCGCTGCCACCACGCAATCTCGTAAAGAAGTCCGTGCGTTGATTTGTTCAGTGGGAAGTGTCCTTACGAATCACGTGCATTTTCATCTGGTGGGAATCCACAGACTTACACACAGTCGATCGAGGTCTAGACAACATCGCGGAGCTGAGAGCTAACGGTCTAGACTGATACAGCCACTTCATTACGGATTTCAGGAGGTTGATGCAACGTACGCTATTTAGTCTGGTGAGCATTTCCAAGGTCCACCGTACTGTCTGATGAGGAACCTTGCTATGGAGGTTAGGTGAAAAGAGTTCCCATTCTCTCCTCATTCACTCAATCCGTCACCGTCGTGTCACCCATTTCTGCAGTTAGTTCTGCCCGTCATTGTATTGTCATGCGCCAGCAACTTTAAGCTGGCGAGAAATGTCTCACGACCTCCGACCAGGCAACATCGTTTCTTTTGCTTCCAACACGCCCATTGAGTGCACAGGAACACTTCTCAGGTTGTATCACTAAATTACCATCGAAAACTCGAACTGAACTTCCCGACCTCGTTGCGTAAAACAGGGCAATTTATACTCCGAAATAATCGTTATCCTGCTGCCTTTGCGTGCCGACTCACTCTATGTTTGCTCTCACTCTCCGCTCTAGATACCTCTTCTCCCTCTCTGGGGCCTTGGTCCTTTTAAATGTGGTGCCTTGTTACGCATTAGATGGCCAATGGATCCTCAAGGCTCTACTCGATCTCCTTCTGCCTTCCTTCATCTGTGGCCGCCAGTTTAAACGTATTCTCTTTTCCAGCATTATCGCTCTTGGAACCGGTCTCCTGTCTATTAATATTGCCCTCGCCCTTTGGTATTTGATCCTGGAGACCGGCGTGACACCTACCCTCCCGGCCTCCCCTGCCCGACCCGCTCCCCAAACGTCCCTGTAACAGTCGAAGCCCTCATCTTCATGTTTTCTGCATTCCTTGTACCACTTTGTTCCGTTTTTAATGTCACTTTGTACTTGTAAATTATCTTTTTACTCTCATGTCCACCCACGTATTTTGTCTTTTAATCCCACCCCCACCACGTTGCTTTGTGCGGTGATTTTCTTTGCTGTGATCCCATCCTCCCTCATGCTCCATCACTTACCATGCTTCTGCTTTCGCTCATCACCCTTCTTCCTTACCCACCAGGACACCATTTGAACCTCGAGATTGGCGGATGAGTGGGCGAAGGCAATGGCAGCGTCTTTGCTACTCTTCTTTGGCATGGCCTCCTCACACATTCTCATATTTTTATTCGGTTTCGCTCAAGCTTGAGCAAACAGAATTGCCTATGGTAACAGCTGACTTGGTTTTTCGCCACCAACCGCAGTGCTGCCCTTCCGACTTTGGAGGCGAGCCTGATTTGTCTCCCTGCCTAAATCGCAGCCGGCGTCGACTGTGTAGTTTCTTTTTCCAGTCTAGAGCATGCCTCACGGTAGCGGCTCGGACTGCCACCCAGCACAGTCGACGAGAAATCTAAATACGGCGATCTCAGTAAATCAGGGTTCCCACCGCTTATCGTCCGCAGGCGCCATATGAAATCGGTTGGATATGTCCGCGCCTCGCAAGACGAGTGGAGAACATGTTAGAACACTGGTTCTGCACTATGGAGGCGGGGGCTGGCCGTCCCTTGCAACTCATAATCTGAATGGGCTTCCGTGCTCTGTCGCATGATTCCTCACCGGTGGTTAATGTGTGCAGTGGGTGCTCGCCTGGGCTCCAATTCGGAACGGTTAAGTGCCCATATTCCACCGGAAGTGTCAGGTAAACCTGATTTGATACCCTCTCTGGCCACATGTCTGCGAACTGAGTCAGGACGAAGGATCATGGTGCAACTTTGCCGCGGGCCTGTTCGGCCCTGTCACATGCTTCGCCAACACTCCAAACGTTTTGTTCGGTTCGTGTGACTATCCGCCACAGTTTAGGCGCAAGGCACCGACACCCACGAAGCGCCGACGAGTTCTCCAAGCGTGATTTCGACCCTGATGTCGTAGTAGTGCAGTGTGGGACACTGCTTCCAGGTGGTTCGTGACTTCGCGGTACCGGCCTTCCCCGGGGCTTGCCGCGGCTGCCTGTCGTAGCCTCGGAAATTGTACCTTTAGCGGACTGCCTTTTTCAAGCCTGATAAAGCGAAGCACTTTGAGTGAGGTATCGGCATTTCACGGTTGTTTAAGAACTGAGCGCCTGGAGTTTATGATTTGGGGGTGGTTATTATTGCCCATAGGTAACTGGCGTCTGCGTGCCTCAAAACAGGATTTGGATGTCGGCAGAGTTTCGAAATTACCTGGCACGCGTGCTTCTGCAGGTACTCTCGTAATTTACATTCCCACTGTGAAAGAATAGCCAGATAACCATAGCAGGTGACCCTACAGTATGCGCTGCGACCTGTGAGATATTCACTATTGTTCTCTTACCTTCCGGATGAGGTTTTTTGTGCAGGGCTCAAAAATTAAATAAGGGGAATATGGTCACAAGTCAATGCCTACTCAGTGTCATTGTTGACTTGGCACTTTGGTAAACCTATTCTCCAACTCACAATAGCCACTTGGAGTCCAATTGCTTCGTCCTCCCCCTCCGGCACAAGGGGCCGTAATCGTTCCGCCTTCCCCCCGCCTCGTTCAGAGACCTACTATGACTCTGACTATCCCTCTCATAGGCCAGTAGTTTGTCTGTCTTGTGGCGCTGGCTAGTTTAGTGTGACAAACTTGTTTTAATTTCGTCTGACGACGGGTTGGTGTCGCCAGCTCGAAAATTAAGGAGTGCAAATCGGCTTTTCCGAAGAACCTCTTCCTTTTTTCATTATATCGGCTCAGTGTGCATACCACCTCTGATCTACAACATATATTTGGCGTCAACTGCTCACTCTTACCAGACGGGAGAAATTCGCACAGCGACAGACCACGGCGTTCGAACAAGTGACCTTCCGCCATAGCTGTCGCGATCATGACGTGTTACCGAAGTCGCTTCGTTCCAGACCGACGTTGCCGAATGAGACTAGGGGATTTCTTGCGTGAAAATACGGAAGGCGCGTTTTGAGTGCTATAGTATCTGATGTCAACAATCGTCTTCGCAGATTCGAAGCAATACTTGCTGACCATAAAAATCAGTGTCCTTCAGCCCTCCCTGAAAACGTATTCAAGAATGTGCGGCAAAGAATTAACGCCACCACTAAGGATGCGAGATTGAAGAAGCGAGTTGGCCACCAGGAAAAACTAATTTCTTCTCCGCCCTACGAACGAAAGGAGTATGGCCGCGAGAGTTGTCAACCTTTCGAAGAGGACTCACTCACCTGTCGAATTCAGCCTCCTATTCAAGGGAATAGGATTTAATCCTACGGATGTCACACCTACCAACTTCCTAGCTGGCCTCGGGTCAATTTTACTGGCCTCAGCTTTTCCGGATGACAGGCGTGCGGACATACGCAGCTGTGCCACTGGTATCCTTCGGCAAAAAAGACTCAAACAAACCCTACCGGCCGATGAAGAGCAAGGATTACAATCACTGAAATCGGGTCACAACATTGTTGTTGTTCCTGCTGACAGGGGTGACGCTACTGTCATCATGGACAGAATTGACTTCGTTAAAAAGGCGAATGGGATCGTCAGTGACGTGGCGGCCTACACTTTTGCCTAAGACCCGACGAAAAAACAAGCCACGGCCATCAAGAAAAAGATTAATGAGCTCACTCGCCTGAAAGTTATAAGTCCGGATGATTCCAAGTTGATGACCCTCAGTGATTCCCATATTGCACGCGCGTATGGTCTCCCAACAATGCATAAAGTGAATGTCCCACTGAGGATTATTATACCACTCATCGGATCACTTACTTACAATATAGATAAGTGATTGTACAGGCATCTGAATCACCTAACTCGTGGATCTGACTACAGCATTAATAATTCTCAAGCATTCCTCGACAGGATCCAAGGCCTCGAAGTAAGTGCTGGTAAATGCCTCCTGTCTGTTGACGTCGTTGCCTTGTTTTCTTCCATGCCGCACGATTTGGCAATTGAATGCATAGCCCAGCGCTTGGAGGAGAACCCTGTGGAGATCCCAACTCAGCATATTATAGAACTGCTCGAACTCTGCCTGCGCACGCGTCTGTCCACCAGGGTGATGCGCGTGTGTCACTAGGCGTCACATGACAATCAGTCAGCGCCAGCTTGGTCAGTCCATTGGGTGATAGCCGAGATGTGTGTGGCGTCTGTGATTGGCTGTCCAAAGGGCTGCATGTGTACATGTTCCAGCCGTTCGTGAGCCGTGATCACATGCCTTCTAGCGCGGTGTATGCGCCAAAGGGGAAGACTTAAGGCCTTACAGTGATGACCGTCGTTTCGAAATAAGCTAGAAACTGTCCTTCCGGTCTCCCCTGCATATTCTGGTTATACAGCCAAAGAGGCGTAATTTCATTTTTATTCTCGTCTTTTGTAACTGGTTAAATATTGCCTGATAAGTATCCCATGTGCTTTGGCTAAACCCGAACTTTTCATTTATCAAGCAATAAATCAAACGTTTTCGCTTGACAAATGCTGAACTGAGCTCTTTCGATGAAAAATTACCTAGACAAACTAACAGGACCAAATATTTCTTAGTCTCTTGCACGAATGCTAACAGCTCTTCAACCAGACACAAAACCACATTGGGCGTACGGCATTTCAGAATTAAATTATCACAAATGAGGGGTCTGCTGTAAGAAAACATATCTCAAAATAGAGACCTGAAGTTGGCTTGGGTGTGGCAAGTCAGCGTCATGCTGATTGGTAGACCAATAAAGGCTTCATCCGTTGTGTCGTCACCTTCGACATACATGCCACTGGATGTTTACGATTCACCTACATCTCCCAGTCATGTCAGCAAGTGTAGATAAGCCTTCTCCCATGCTTTCATAAAGCGCTCATTACAAAGCTATTTACGTTTGAGGCCTAAATGACAAATGTTCGAAAAGTACCTATATGATATGAACTGCTGAGCTGAGTTCTCTGCCTCGGAAACACTAACCGAGTGTGAATGCCGGATACAGATACTAGAAGTCAGCAGTACGTTTGCGAAACGACTAACAGCTCCGTTGGAAAGAGGGCCTTAAAATCGGAACTTTTGATAAAGACAGGAGGTATTTATTTCATTCTCGGTAGGCAAGCCACATCGATGAACGCCACTCCCACGTGACTCTCGATGGCCTTTATCCCAGGTGGCAGAGCATGAGCTAGTTAACCAATTCTTGTCCGTTCTTTTCTACGGTTTACTTTTAGGTAATTTATTGTGGGAGGACTGTTCCCTCTTTTCCCCTGGCAGCTCGCATTCTTTCCACGCGAGGTGTCGTCAACTTTCACTAAACATTAATGACCATCACTAACAGACGAACAATTTACCAACTACTCCAAGCTGGAATATTCACCGAATCCATGACAAGATTGGAAGTTTCGTCTTATTTTGTGGACAGCATGTGGAATTTGCCAGCGTGGTGGTCTAATCTTCTTTTCCGATGATGTGTACTGCGTGCCACACAGGAGGTTGCACGCAGGGGCGGTGAATTGCGTGTGAGTTGGTTTGTAGAAATAGTAGGCTTGCGCTGCATTTACCGCACCTTCTCTTACTCACCATCCCCAACCAGGTGTCAAGACAAAATCAGAAAGACTGGGGATGAAATAAGGCGTGGGTGGTTGACATGGCGTGAACCCGCGCCTAGGCGTGTCCCACGCCTCCTAGCCCACGCACAAGGGGTCAGGGCTTAACGCAACAAAGGGAGGGGGCTGGGATCCCGAGTGGGAGTGCCGGAGAGCAGGTATAACAAGTAATCTAGACACTCTCATCGATGATAGGTGAGATCACTGTGAATTTGTGGCTTTTTCTGACGACCCATATTTTTCATGTGGCGATGCGGACCCACATTCTGCACCGAGCTA